TACTATTAATTTTTTTTTTGTTAAATTAGATGCAAAATAGGTTGAATTATAAAGAATATTATCATTATGATGGCGCCATATTGTAAATTTATTGAATTATAATACATAATTATGTTGAATGATTATAGAGTGAAAATAAAAACATGATAAAAAAATATTAACAGATATGTTAAAAAAATTATAAAATAATATGGTCAGTTTATATATATATATATAATTATTGAACAATATATTATATTGATAGGTGGCTAACCCTAATTGGCCGATGACAAATTGATGGTGATGGGATATGTCGGAAAATTAAGACTAACACGGAGATGACGATTGTATATTGACGATTATATATTTGTAAGAATGATTACGGTGCTAATTTGGACATGCTGATTCTTTGGATCAGTACATGTTATATATGCAAACAATATATATTAATATTGCATATATACATGTTATACATAATAAATGTATTTGTTATTTTTTAATAATAACATGTGTGTTGTATATAGGTATGTCATGTGCTAAAATCAACTGTTGTGTGCGTTGTATGAGACTATAGCATGCGTTGTTAGTTCATGTACTGTATTTGTATTATATTAACATATGCAATGTGTTATTTGTAGTAATATTATATGTTGTCTAATAGCATACGATGTGTTGTTCATCACAGGTTTAGCCGCAACCTATATATATTCTTATTTCATTTATCCTATCCTATTTGTGCTTTTTATCAGTTTGTTCGGAAAAATCATGTTGTGGAATTCGTTCGACTACATCCATGCACGTGTCGTATCACGATTAGAACTCTCAAACCACTCTAAATAATCATGTTGTGGAATTCATTCAATTACATCCAAATGTATAGTTACTCCGTCATTGGTTTTTTTTTTTTTTTTTTTTTGAATTGTTATAAAAAAAAATAAAAAAAATTCTTGTTTCTTTTGAAAGTAAAAATTTATTATACTTTTATATTTTTTTTTACTATAGAAAAATAACAATTATTACTTATTTTTATTAAAACTCGTGTCCAATCAAATGAATATTCATTTGCATGACGATGAAGTGTATATATATATATATCAATCACTTTTAGCATTATTTACAAACACTCAAGAATTTCTTTTGACATAATTCATTCAATGCCATTTTCAAAAGATGTTACATTAATATTTTTCCATTTTCTAAAATTTTTTGAAATTATATTAAATAAAGTTTTTTTTTTATAAAAAAGAAATAAATCAAAATTAAACTCCAAATAAATAGAACCGATGTGTATGGATGAGTCGATGTGTCATGCGACGGTTAATTGAAAGTTTGGTCGATTGTCGCTATCAACTTTGATAAAAAGTCCCTTTAACAATAATTGATCGATCACTTACCTAAGACATTATTGTTGCTAAAATATCGGCAATGCTTCCCATTCATATAAATCATTTACTAAAGTCATCAAAAATTTTATCTCACCATGTTTAGGCATAAGAGGAAATTATAAATGGAACTTATATAATTATTATTTATGGAGCTACGTAGATATTATATTGAATTAGTTTTGTTATTTGACCTAATTAACTCCAGCAAGTATCTCACTTTTACAAATTTATTACGTAAAATATATGTTATATAAAATAATTAATTTATTAATATGAACGTAAAATTTTATATGAATAGTGATGAAAGTTCTACAATACGAGTAAAAAAATAAATAAAATTTAAAATGATATAGCATAATGTGGTAAATATAGAAATAAAGATAGAGAAGATCCATAAAAGGATCATACATTAGTTTCAGCCAAGGTTTACTGAGTCCGCATTTTCATAGAATGGAGGGGAGGCGAAGGGAGGAGAAAGAATATTAAATTTGTAATAGCGTGTTTGGTTCATATGGAAGGGAAGGGAGGCGAGGCAATGGAAAATAGTATTTTTGTGTTTGATTAAGACAAGAGAGAGAAGGAAAAGTATAATAATTTTACTATTTTACCCGTGTTATATAAATAAAAAAATAAAAGTATTTAATAAAATTCGATTAATTTATTTATAAAATGTGATACAAAATTTATTTGTCTAATATAATAAAAACAATAATTACATTATTACGTCTTGAAAGAATCAAATACTTTATACATTAGTTATTTATTAAATTTACCAATAAAGATAAACAATAGTTTTACGTATAAATAATAACACTATAACAAAAATTATATAAACTAAGTATATTATAAATATATTTTATATTTTACAATTTATAATTTTTTAATATTAATTAAACTATTTAGTTATCTTAATTTTACTCTATAATTATTTTTACTATACAATAATTATTTTTATTAGTACATTTCTTAATTACTTACTAATTATATTTTATCTAAATTTTCGTATCTACAATAATATGCTCATATTACACGGGACAAAAGATATAATTATATGCTAATTTGTAATTTATTAAAAAATTATTATAATTAAACTTGATTAAAAAAATTAATTAAAACTATTTCAAAATATATAATATAATTTTAATATATATTAATATTTATTTGATATAATTAAAAATAAAATAAATAAATATTAAAAATTTAAAAGATGTTATAAAATTTCTAATAAAATATGTAAATGGTATAATAGGTAACTAGATAAAAAAAAAATTTGATAAAATTTCTCCCCTCCAAATTCCCCCAGAGGGAAGAAAAAAAATTAAAAGAAATTGACTCCCCTCCCCTCTAAAAAAAAATTTGACCCAAACACAAAAAGTTTTATAATTCCCTCTCATTCATTCCCCTTCCCTCCTAAACCCTCAAACCAAACACCCTATAACAGAAATGTACACAGCCGTGTAAAATTATAATGACCGTGTAACATGGTTATATATAATTATACACTGATATATATAACTACGTTGTTACATGGCCGTGTATAATTGTACATAACTGTGTTACAACATGGTCATGTATAATTATACATTGAAATATACATAGCCGTGTAACAACATTGCCGTGTATAATTGTATATGACCGTGTAATTTTCCGGTCAGCTGCCACGTCGCCTCCGTTATTTCCACGTCAGCAATTTTCGTTAAATTTTTAACGATGGGACCAAAATTGATTGGAATTATTTATAATGGGACCAAAATTGATTGAATTTGTTTATAATGAAACTAAAATTGATGAATTTTTTTATATTGAAATCAAAATTGATAAATTTTTGTTATATTACGACTAAAATTGATTTTTTTTTTCTATTTTTATTTATGTATAGTAGTTTGATCTATGCACGTTACCAATGGAGTATGCATATATATATATATATATATTTTTTTTTTTTAAATAGACCATTTTCCTTTTTGCTTAGAAGATTTTAATAAAATAAATGGCTAATATATTTAAAATAAATTCAGTTCGGTCCGAATCCGATTTGGTACAATATTTTTATACAATTGATCAATATACAAATCCATCAATACCTGAGAAAAAACAATCAATATTTAAATTTGATAAATGTATATTTTTAATTTAAATATAAAAAATGATTTAATTAACAATAATATTATATTGCTAAAAATATATATTGACCTATCTAAATGAGTATATATTTATACAAATATATTAATAAATAATATTTCTTCTACTTTAATTCAAAGTAATCATACAAAAATATAAAAAATATCTTTCATTTTTTTAAAATTATTTATTTTATAGATAAAAGTCGGCAAAAAAATATCCAAAATTTTTAAACATTTACATTAATGAATAAAATATTATTATTATTTTAATATATTACAATACTAAAAAAATATATACATTCAAATAGGACAGAAAGAATAATATATGTTCTCTCCGTCCTGGGATTTGGATTTTGAGTTGGGATTTGAATAGTAAAAATTTTGAATTTGAATAGTTGTATGATGTGATATAAATAGGTAATGACGTGATGTTGTGATGTTTTGAATGTAAAATTAATTTTTAGTATAATATAAAAAATAAAAAATAGGTGTTTGATTTGATATTTTTAGGAGAAAAATTTTGGATGAATAGTGGAATTTTGTCCAAATCTATCAAAGGAACACACCCTAGTAAGTAATTAAGAACTATATTAGTAAAAATAATTATTGTATAGTAAAAATAATTATAAATTAAAATTTAAAATAACTAAATAATATAATTAAGATTAAAAAATTATAAAATTTAAAATATAATTAAAGTATATAATTATATTTTAAAAGAAAAAAGACAAATTATATGAAATGAAAAAAATAAAAAATATAAATAAATTACGTGAAATAGATCAAATATTATATTGATCCGATTGTAAATACTAATTTGATAGAGATTTCGGATAAAAAAAATACCGAATCCGGATAGGATCCTATTGGAAATAGGTCCAATTGACAGACCGGTTCGGATCTCGAACCTACCAGACTATTCCCATATACTATGACCGAAAAATTATATTTTCTCAGTCATATTTAATTAATTAATTTATTTTTTTAATATCCGTGTCTATATAAATTGTTTTTTTTAAAAAAATATATAATTATATATTTTGATCTTATTTTAAAATTTAAAATTTTTTATTTTAATTAAATTATTTAATTATATTAATTTTAATTTATAATTTTTGTTATTATATTAAAATTATTTTTATTAATATATTTTTTAATTATCTACTAATTATATAATATTTAAATTCTTGTGCCAATACAAAGCGGACAAATTAATTGAAACAACTTAACGAGACCGGAAGGAATGAATACCTAACAGCGCTTTCAATACTTTTTAAAATACTTTTCAGAGGCTTGCGACGAAGACGATAGAACAGCAACAGGTGATGGTCGCCGGGCCCAACACCTCCGCCGTCGCCGGTGGGGCCAACCCTAATCCCATGGCCTGGCCCGCCACCACTACGACGCCAACGGCGCCTGCTTTTGCCACCTAATCCCCCTTCACGTGAACACTTCGCACTTCCATACTCAATTATTATTCCCCCGATCAACGTACAGAAATCATTTGTACCTATGCTCGCCCACTACCCGCCATTTCCATCTTACTCCTGCGCCACCACTCAACCTCCTATAAAACCCCAACCACACCACCCCCCCTCTTCTCCCTCCTCGCCAAGGAGGAGCGCCTGCGCCGCCTCTCATCGGATCTCCGATCGATCTATTGTTTCTCCGGAAAACTGAAATTAGTTGCAGTAACAATGCTATTGAGAAGCGCTTCGACTCCGCTTCTGAATTCATGGCTGCCCAATCCGGCGACCGGATCCGGGTCGCCCGAACCCGAGACCCTGCCCCAATTGACCCGAGCCCGATCGGTCGGGCTAGTGATGATGTCGTGCGAGGACGGCAGGTGCAATTCGAATCGGAGCGCGGCGGATTCCGATCCCAGAGATCGGAGGAGGAGTTTGAGGTTTCCGGCGGCCGGGAAAGCGTCGAGGTCTGTCAGGGAGAAGGACGACGGGCGGGAGAAGGGCTATATTTCGCTGACAAGCTTAGGGTTGGGCGCGGCGGCGGCGGCGACGGAGGAGGGCTGTGCGGCGGCGCCGGAGAGAAAGAGGGTCGCTGTTCCTCAAACGCTGGTGGCTGGCGGCGGCGTTGTGGGCGGTGGATTGGGCGGGATTTGCGGCGGCGGGAGAGGTTCCGATGACGGGCATTCGAGCTCGCCGGATCCCGGCCGGGAGTACGGACGCGAGAGCACGAACGCCTACTACGAGACGATGATACAGGCGAATCCGGGGAATCCATTGCTGCTGGCGAATTATGCGAAATTCTTGAAAGAGGTAAAATCCGTCGCGTGAAATCACATTGCATAGTATCCGCCATGGAATCACGAGCTCAATTGCATTAATTGATCAATCGACTAGGTTGTGATCGGATTAGGGTTTGATCATAATTTTGGGGATTTTTTCTCCAGGTTAAAGGCGACTATGCCAAAGCAGAGGAGTATTATGGCAGAGCAATTCTGGCGAATCCCGCCGACGGAAATGTGCTCTCGCTCTACGCCGATTTGATATGGCAAACACACCGTGACGCCGATCGAGCCGAAGCTTATTTCGATCAGGCCATTAAAGCCGATCCCGGCGACTGGTGAGCATCTCGATTTCCTGATCCCATATATGCTTATCTCCATTATCACTCCAAGTATTAAATTGTGTGTGTATATATATAAAGCGTAATTGGTAGTCATATAATACTATACTAGATCAATGCATAACGGTGTATATCTTTACGAGCTTAACTTGTGACAATTTATTGATGATTCTAAAATATTAGATATTCCGTTTTAGATATATTAGATATTGAGCCTGTCTTTTGTTGGCTATAAGCTCTTTCTTTTGATGATCAATATAATATTTTCTTGTCCTTCTCTAAAGGTCACATTTACCTTTTTGTTCCATTGTATTTAACATTAAAAATATATTTATATTTGTATATTTTTTTCCAAATGTCCATCTATTATTATTATAAGACACTAATGAAAGTATTCTTGCAATTTTTTGTTAATTTGTACTACGTTTTGATATAATAATTAATACTCAAAGATCAACACGCAAAAAGTAGATGAGACCTTTAGAGCCGGACGAAGTAGTACAATTTTCTAGTTTTTATAATTTATTTTTAGAGATTGTAAAAATTAAGTCAACATTTATTCATTTCGACTTGGGAATGTTGTCAGTTATGTGCTGGCTTCTTACGCTCAATTCTTGTGGGATGCCGAGGACGAGGAGGAGGATGAGGAGGAAAACCAACAGAAGACAAACCACCGAAGCAGTTCGAATTCGAATTCGCAATCTACACAGTTTTTGCGCCAAGAATCGCAATGGCCACCGCTGGCGGCGGCTTCTTGAACACTCTTAACAACATCGTTGTCGTCGTGTTGCGGTTGTCTGTGAGCTGATAGATTTTAACACTGTCTTGTTGTGTTGTGTTGTGTTGTGTTGTAAATAGGGTAGAACAAGAAGATGATTCTGACAGTAATAACACAGCTATCTATAAATCTATGGAATCTTATCTCGATATATATATATATATTGTTGTATTGTATCCTTGTTCTTGCATGAATGTGAATAGTGAATAATGTGGAAGTGGTCTCTTGTTTTCCTTTGTGTTGATTGGGACTATTCAATAAATTAATTAATTAGAAAAAAGAAAAAAGACAATATATGGTCTGAGGATTTAAATTGTATTGTGGTAACACTTTATATGTGCAATTTTGTTGTTAGATATTTTGAAGAAAAATAATGAAATTATAGTATTGATCATCAGTCTATATACAGTCAATAGAAAACTGACTCATTGACTCAAATTTAAATAATTAAATTTAAATATAAATATATTCAATCTAAAATTGAATATCTAAAATATCTTTAATAAATTTTTTTTAGTATTTATTGTTTATTTATTCTATTTTATATGATATCTGCAAATAAATAATTCATGTGGTGCCATACAATTTTATTGAGACATGATAAGATGATGCATCTGAAGTGAGGGGACATTGGGAATAATATGTTTTATTATCTCATCTCATCCCATAATACTCAGTTCCACATAATTTGTTCCTATTTTTTATTTTCGTCCCACATAATTTGTTCTTTTTATTTTTGAAAATATAATTATGCACTTTAACCGTATTTTAAATTTTAAATTTTATAATTTTCTTAATTTTAATTAAACTATTTACTTATCTTAATCTTAATTTATAATTATTTTTACTAAATTCTCGTATCTACAATAATACACTTAGGGTGTGTTTGTTTGGGAGATTGGATTAAATTTATACTATTCATCCAATTTTTTTTTACTAAAAATATCAAATACCTATTTTTCATTTTTTATATTATACTAAAAATCAATTTTATATTCAAAACATTACATCAATACTTATTTATATCACATCGTACAACTATTCAAATTCAAAATTTTTACTATTCAAATCTCAACTCAAAATCCAAACCCTCGAACAAACACACCCTTATTACATGGGACATAGGAAGTATATCTTTATGGCCTTTTGTGTGTTCTTTTAATTTAGTGGTTGTAAGGCCTCTTGGAATTTTGCTTGATGCAGACTTATTGTCCCTATGTGGATTTTTAATATTCATGTCTTAATATGGGATGACCCTCTTGTTTTTGTGCACTTAATTTTATTTATATAATAATATATTATTTATATATATATATTAATATACTATGAAGTATATAACATATACTTCATCCGTCCAAGATCAAATTTCTTATTTATTTTATTGTATGTTGAATTTTAAATATTAATTATTATATCAAAATATAATATAAATTAAAATAAAATGACAAAAAATAATTGTATTAGTGTCTTACAATAATAATATAATGAGATTTGTATAAAAAATTATATAAACATAAACGATATTTTTAATATTAAACAAATATAAATAAAGTTTAATTTTGAACAGAGGTAGTATATATTATTCGTTAAAAAAAATTAATAATTTAATATAAAATATTAATATTTTTTATATTAATAATATAATCTTTTAGGTATTTTTTTATATTTAACGTAAAAAATCACATTAAAAAAGAAAATATAAAACAAAATGAACAGAGTTTGTTAACTTTGTAGTTTGTATGAATATGTTTTTTTTTTATATATATTTAGTACGGGGAGTTGAGTTGGTAATATAAAAAATATTATTTTATATTTATAAAATAATAAAATTTTGTATTAAATTATTAAATTTTTATAAGTAGATAAAATATATTATGTCGGTCAGGCACTAAAGTTTCTATTTATTTTTTGGATATTGATATTTAAATATAAATTATTATATAAAAACGTAGTATAAATTCATGGAAAATAACAAAAATAATTCTATTTTTATAATACTATTATAATAATGTTTGTGCAAAACATAATATATACAAATATAAAAATATTTTTAATGTTATGTACAATGATGCAAAATGTAAATAAAATCCTTAGAATCTAAGGATGAATAAAGTATATTATATTTATTGTGTTAATGAGTATCTATTATATATTTTTTTAATAATATTTATGAAAAATCTTTAGTTTAAAAATCCTATTAGAACAAATTCCTTGTTTGCCACAAATAAAATTATAATGTAATATATATCTAATTAAAAATAAATTTAAAAATTGGTTTTGAATAACTTAAAAGTTATACTCCAATAATAACATATATTTAGTATATATATATATATATATTATTTTTTTTAGATAAAATTTTATGCAATATAAATAATTTAAAAGTTAAATATATTTATATATTTAATGTAAACTAATTTTATAAAATATATGTCGATTTTCAATTTATACTCTATTTAATTCTCACTTAATTATTAATTTACATTAATTTTTATTTTTTTTACCTATCCAAATAGCATTCCACATTTTATTTTGTTATCCCACTTATTTTAATTTTTATGTTATACAAATTCACTCGCTAATATAATATATATTTTTTAATTTGCTATAGAAAAAAAATTAAAACTATATATTTCTCTAAAATGATTTTATATTAATAGTACATAAAAATATATTTATTTATATTATATAAAATTCGACATCCTCCATCCAAGTTAATACGTGCATTTAGTTTAGTCACTTAATTTATATAATTAGTAACTAATAAAAAAAATATATTAGTGAAAATAATTATAATTTAATAAAAATAATTATAAATTAAGATGACTAAATAGTTTAACTAAAATAAAAAAATTATAAATGATGAATTTTAAAATTTGATTAAAATGTATAATTATATTTTCAAAATACCAAAGGATAAATTATGTGGGATAAATGAAAATAAAAAGAACAAATAAATTAAATAGGACAGATGAAGTATAATTTATAAAATAATATTAATATTAAAAATATTTTATTAATATATAAAATTTAAAACATATAAATAAATAAATATTTAATATCATAATAAAAATTAATTAAATGAATCTAATTAAACCAATTTTTAACAATAAATTTAACCATCAATTAAAACATACTACCATGAAAAAAAAAAAAAAAAAAAGAGAGAAAGGCCCACCGTGATTGGACATAAAAAAAATGTAAAATAAAATACTAAAATAATAATAATATCCTATATCCGAAAAAATTAGTCCCTCCGTCCTAAATAAGATGGGTGTATTATTGTAAATACGATAATTTAAGTAAAGTATATTAGTAAGTAATTAAGAAGTGTATTAGTAAAAATAATTATTATTTAAAAAAAATAATTATAGATTAAGATTAAAATAACTAAATATTTTAATTAAGATTAAAAAAAATTAAATTTTAAATTTTAAAATATAATTAAAATATATAGTCAATTTTTTTAAAAAATAAAAAAAGAAATTATCGTGAAACAAACAAACATAAGAAATAGAAGCAAATTATATGGGACGGCAGCCAGTAATATTCTCCTCAAATTTGGTGTATAACTCTTTGAAAAAATCTATATAATATTATACTCTTTCCGGCCAATATAATTATATTAAATTAAAAAAAAAAAAATCTTGCGTAATTATAAGGGACAGAGGAATGTATATATATATATATATATTATATATTTGTGAAACCCATATGTTAATGGCCTGGCCCATTCGATACATTATCTCTTAGGGATCGATGATTTATCAGAGCCGTTGATTGTTAGGATTTATTTATATTTTTTATTTGGTTGCATAAATAGTTGGTTATTTATTTACTGTGTTTACTTTGAATTTTTCTATTTTTTAAAATTATTTATTTATAGAATTTGGATTAAAATTTAAGATTATTTTGATTTAATAGTATTTTATACGAAGTAATATATTTTTATTAAAATTTATAAAAAAAAATCCACATAAAATGGGAAAATTTTGTAAATATAACATAACACATCTTTATTCATTCATATATCTTTTTCTCTATATTTGGTTCCGCAGTCGCTATTGAAAGTGCGCAACCCACGGGCGAACCTAATACCTTACAAACCAGGCGGACTATGTATGACAGATGACTTGAGTTGTCGAGATTTTAAACCCATAACATCACGGTCACAAATCCAACCCCTACACCACCAGCTAATTTTGTTTATGCTTTTGGCAGTAATAACCCATTTATCATTCCAAGGAGTTCAAGTGTCTTGGGTGTGTTTGTTTTCTAAAGAATGGTTTTTTTTTTATTTTTTTTATTTTATGTGAGATATGAAAAAATTATGTAGATAATATAAAAATAATATATATGTATAATATATTATTTTTTTGGAAAAAAATACGTATAAAGAAGTACAAAAAAAAAATCCGTAATTTTTATAATATTTAATTAGATTTTTCGTGTGAATTATATAGGTATTGGATTTGTTTGGTTTTTGTGATTTTTGTTTTGTGTCTTATATATATATATATATAACTAATTATTTGATATGATATTTTATGAGATAAAGTGATATATTTGTTAAAAAAAATTACCTTTAGGCTTTGATTACCACTTTTAGTTGTGTCAAGACTGGAGCAAATATGTCCTATAAGAGATGGTTTGGTGGTGTGGGGATATACTCGTGACAGTGAGGTCATGGCTTCGAACCCCGACGTCTCTAGATCTTAACAAATAGAAATTGCTGACGTAGACGTAACAAAATCGATGTGACAACTGACCTGGAAAAAAACATTTGTGTACAATAGTCATAGTCAAGACAGGCCGATTCAAATCACACGGCCGAGGTTAATTCTACACAACCTTGTACATACTTACGTCAATTATTAAGATGTTGCTTACGTCAATTATTGGGATGGTGTTGAAATATAGTAGTGTGTAATAGTACATGACCTTGTATCTTTCTAGAAACTCTGGAGAGGTTCAGATCGGCACAAGACAACGTCGGAAAATGAAGACTCATGTCTCCCTATACCTGAGGAAGATGATGTTGTTGAAGGAGAAAACACTATTACTGAAGGTGGTGTTACTAGTAATACTAAAACCTCAGCCGAGAAAGAAAATCAAGAAGAACCAGTGGAGGAACATGCCGACAAAAATCAAGGAGATGGTAATCACACCTCGGAAGAATCAGCAGTTGAAGTCCCATTGTCTGCCTTAAGGAAATCG